CTGGTATATAAAAGAAGGAAGGTAATGTGTGTATAGACAGTGTGTAATTGATCTGCAGTAAGAAGTATTATTGACGTTCGTTGATATAGCGTTTGTTTTTAGCGCGATTGTTGAAGTTGAGTGTATCGGTAAAGTTATATTCGGAAAGAATAAACCAGTTTTTATTAAGAAAGAACTTGTGTCGCTTACGAACGAAGTTACGGAAAATCGATTAACAAACGGAGACGTAACAATACTTTAGTAACTTAAATTCACGATTTTTACATACTTATGTGCTTTTACTTGTGGGTTGTATTTAAACTATAAATTAAAAATCAAATTTCAAAACAGAAATTCTTCGCTTAAGTTACACATTTTAGTGAGTTAAAGAAAAGTTGTTTTAATTTTTCATACTTCCAACTAATTTTAGGGAATTTTAATATATAAAATGCCGATATTAAGCAGGGTTGTCTGTTATAATGAAAAACCAAAATTTAAACTTGTGACAATTAACAGTTTAATACAATAAAAATAGACATTTTTATATTTACTGGGTGTTTTACAACAAACGAGTAAGAAAAACTCGGTGAATTACGAAGGTTATATATAAGTACGCACACACTACTAGCTAAGTTCACCGTGTATCTTTCAAGGAGAAAGATACCATTCCAATGCTATGGCGACCGTAGGTTGTTTACAAATTCACATGTTGTAAACAAGTCTCTATTGATTCTACGATACGTCACCCAGCAGCATGAATAAAACAACGTCTTAGGCTGAAAGGAGGAAATTAGTCCAGTTTCTTTTACCAACATTGTAACCACGTGTGATGGGACAGCTAATAACACAGACTTCAACATTTTCTCCTCAGCAGAGAAAGAAATCATTTTTTGAATAAACAAGTCATTACCGATTAGAAAATTAAAACCAGAACCAAACAAACATTCATCTTTTCCAATAGTTTGTCGTTTCATACCATTTGAGAGTCAGAGCACGAGTTCATTTTATTTTATCAACTTTCATTTATCTATCTGATTTTCGGAACTGTCAGATAAATTACTATTTTTATATGCTTCTTCTAATTAGTGTATTATTTCATTAGCAAGGCTTAGCAGAACTTCAAGATGTCTCTTTGATGAATTTTTACTTGGCTAAAACAGACTTAGTGTTTGGGTGTTTTTTTTAGAAAGGCATGCAATTGAGAATGAGCTATAGATGAATGAATATGTTTTAAATGAACATTTCTCTGCCTTCTTGGTACCAGGAATCGGCCTGTTGCCTCTCAACTTTTGCGGACCACAAAAATGCAAGTACAATGAAAAATTATTAGGATTTAATAATCTGTTAGTTTTTGTGAAATCTCCTGGACCACAAGGCGAGGTGGTTGTGATAAATCAAGCAGTTGAGAAACACAGGTTTAGATGATAATTAGAAGAATGTGGTTTAAAATTAATTGTGACACGTAGTAGATGTTCTAAAGGTTAAACTTCCTTGTTAGGATTTAATAATCTGTTAGTTTTTGTGAAATCTCCTGGACCAGCAAGGCTAGGTGGTTATGATGAATCAACAGTTGAGAAACACGGGTTTAGATGATAATTAGAAGAATGTGGTTAAAAATTAATTGTGACACGTAGTAGATGTTCTAAAGGTTAAAGTTCCTTGATAGGATTTAATAATCTGTTAGTTTTTGTGAAATCTCCTGGACCAGCAAGGCGAGGTGGTTGTGATAAATCAACAGTTGAGAAACACGGGTTTAGATGATAATTAGAAGAATGTGGTTAAAAATTAATTGTGACATGTAGTAGATGTTCTAAAGGTTAACGTTCCTTGTTGTCGTACTTGCAAACACCTGTTTTGAACTCTGTTCTTTTATTACTATTAATATGCTTTCTGTCTATGATCTACTATATAAAAAATACATTTGTTCTGATAGATCCAAAGTTGTATTTCTTTTAGCAATACTACACTGGAATAACTGAATAGTATCTGGGACAAGTGTAGTGCCAACTTTGACAAAATTATGTATTCCCCTCAAAAATGAAACTCTTTGCTAACAATTGAATACAACTTTATAAAAATGAAATAAAGTTTAAGTTTTCTCAAAATTTACATTTACACCTTAACACAATATATTACTTTTAAGTAGGGTTGGCTGTGCTCTGGCTCCAGAGTGAAATTGGCCAGTTTTTTTAGCTCTGGAGCTAGAGACAGGCTCACCAATGTGCTCTACTCTTTCCTGTTTTGTTTGTAAATGTACTTTTGTGTACTTAACTTTACAATTGTTTTAAGAAAAAAAATGGTTCATTATTTCTCATCATTTTATTTTATTGTAAAAATAAATATACAAGACTTTCAAACTTCACATTCCCTATCATTTTTACTAAAAATTCATTTAACCTTATAGACTGTTTTAATTCTATATAACCATAACAAAACCATAAATAGTAGTATCCTAGTTACTCCAGGGTTCTGTTGTTCCAGAACTGGAGCTTGAGCACCAGTGTGCAGCAGCTCAGTAATTAGGGCATGGGCTGCTGAAGCAGAGGGTCTTTATCAGTTCTGAAGCTGAACCACTGGAGCCACTTCTGAGTCCAAACCAGCAAATTTATAGCACTGCCAACCCTACTTTCAAGTATCTGAATATGATCAACTGATGCAAAAGTAGAAATACTTTATTTTGCAACTCACAACATTATGTTTATTTTTAGTGAAAAAAGTTCAATAAAAACAGTCATAATAATCTTTCTTATACAGAGTCTAATCAAATATATGTGTACTGCTTAACTAGTGTCATGATTTGTTAAAAAAAGTAAATAGTATTACAAATTTTAGGAGTCCAATATAAAAACACTTGTGATAATGATGACTGCTCATACACACAAACACAGTTTCTCCTTATACTTCTGTGCTTCAGTTTATAAATAAGATATATAAGTTCTTGTGATAGATTGTCTGAGAAAATATTTAAGGGAGAAAGTTTTATCCTTTCCCACAGAGAAAAATATGTGGTTGAGTTTAAGAAAAAAACATGCTGGGCAGTGTGTGGGAAAAGATTACTTTATTTCAGATACTCATGTATCTTTAGGTAACCCAAACAATTTTACAGTTCCAGCATCCTGTTCATATTTATCTTTATCATCACAGGCAAAAGCCAAGAGGTATCTTTTTGGGTGCCAGGCAACAGTAAATGTTGCTGAGTCGCATGGTACATCTGCTATTTTCTCTCCTAAGAGAAAAGAAAATTTCACTGAACACAGGCTACACACTTATAATATAATTCAGGTACTAAGGAAAATTCTGTAGATAAAAAAAATACATTAATGTATATTAAGAAAAACTAAGTTCTTACAGATTTTTCTTCTTTCACAAAAAAATGAAAATAACTGTTTTCCCACTAAACAGAAAACAAGAACAACAAAATAGAAAGCAACTAGGTCTTCAGATATTTATCACACAGGCTAAACAAATACTGACTATATTTCAGTGTTTAATAATTCAGTTTATTACACAGTAAAAACAAAAACAAGATAATGTGGTCTTTCTATGAGCAGTCTATTTGTAAATATCTGTCACATGGACAAAGCATGCAATTCTATATTCATAGCTTAGAACAGAGTGCTATCTTTATTGCAGGTAAGATTGCACTGTCTTTGTTGCATTATCTTCCATTGATTGAAAGTAGACCTCACTACCTTTTCTGAATTTATTTGCTGTGGTTGAAATTAAATTGTGCTGTCTTTATTACGTAAACACCTTACAGTGGTTAACACCATATTGCACCGACTTTTTTTTTTGCATACCTTGCTGTAGCTTAAATTATACTGCATTGCCTTTATTGCACACCTTACATTTGGTCAGAATAGATTACACTAGCTTGTTTTCACATCTGTAATTGAAGCTAGACTGCAATCTCTTTGTTACATATCTTACAATCATTAAAATAAATTTAGGCATTTTGAAATGTAACAGATGTGAGCAACTGCAGTGGAATTTCCTGTGCATACCACAAGCCTTGAACAAACTCCCACCTGTACAAGTGTATAGGGGTACTGCATCACCTTATGACATATTTGTACTAATGATGTAGCCTTCCATCAGTAGGAAGGTGACATGACCTGTATGCATAGTAATTCCTGTGAGTTCTAGTACATGATCATATGTTATTCTTGACAAGACAAAGAAAATGCACCAGAAGTGGGGACAAAGGGTGGGAAAGTGGCACAGAGAGGTATGTTCCTAAAATATGTTTTCAGGTAAGGAAAATGTTAACTTCACAAATTCTACTTACCTCTCTGCACTGCTAAGAGCTAGAATCCTAAATTGAAAATTATGGAGAAGCTGGTGCTGATCAGTTAGAAAGGTGAGCTCTTTTCTGAAATAGTTACCATAGGGTGCGACTTCCATGAGACCAGGGGTAGCCTAGTGACCAGCACCAGGTGGGAAACTGCATCCTTCTCTTTGCCCAACTTGTTATTTATTCATTCACATATTACATTTACATCACACAAAGATTTACAGTAAATGATATCACGTAAATCCAGTGCTATTGGTAATATGTTGCGAAGGTGAGTGGAATGTGAGAATGTATAGCATGGCTAGGGCTTTATGCCATTCTGTCTTGTTAAAATAACTACTTGAGATAAATATTGTAATGACAGGTGGAGGGAGGATGTGATTTCACTGTATCCCAAGGCAACTTGAAGTCTCATCTGACTGGACATATCCACTGGGAACTGCTTGAGAAATATTATAATGTGGTGGTGTCCTTCACACCCCAGTCCTAAATCTGAAAAGAATGGTGGTGGGCCAAACTGGTTTCTTAACTGGGGGAAGGCACCACTCACAGAGGAAATTCTCCATATTTACATCCCAAGCAGTTTGGGACTGGAAAAATAAGGATTCTCCTGTGCTCCACAAGAAGAATGTGCATATGTAGAGGGGGGGGGGAGCATTGGGAATAATACCAGAGTATGTGCATGGATCATTGTCATCAGGCATAATAATCTGGAAGTTAACATTTTCTTAAATCGGAAATGTATTTCCAATAATACCTCTTCTCACACTACAGCTGTTACTCAACTGCTAGGGTTTCTTTACCTTTGCCCACTGTACCCACCTCATCAAGATAACCAGGAATAAATCCCGGGAAACTGAAGGGTCACAATAAATAAAAGTCCATTGTTTAGCACCTCTAAACACTTTTGTGTGGGCAAAATAACACTTCAAGGCCTTCACTGGACATAACAAACAATCCAGATACAATCAGTCATAGAGGTAAGAAATAGCAGTGAGAAGAATCAAGGAAAAGGATTCATCCCCTTTCCTGGCTGCCAGTGTCTTAGGTAAGAAGGACCTGTCTGGATATAGAAGGAAGTAGGTAGAATGATAAAGTGTCCTGTAGCAACAAAAAATAAACCTTAAAGGAAAGGTGATACATGGTACATGAGGCTTAGGACTCAAACGCATGTTGAGGGAGAACATGCAACACCATCTTTATATCCTGGTTAGGTAACTGAAATGGTTGTTTGGAACAAATGAGCCAAAGCAAATTGAAGAGGGGGGAGAGCACTAGGGACTCAAAAGAATTTCTCTCTCTTCAAATATTGAAAGGTAGCTATTAATGCCACCTTATATAGGGCAACTGTGGAAAATGCAAAACACTTGTCAAAGTGCTGTGAAATGTATGAATGATGTGGAGATGATTAGATGCTCTGGGTAAAATGGAGAATGGTGAAAACCAGAGGCACAGGAAACTGTCCAATGATGCAAGTAATGGTAGACGAACTTGTTAGGTGTATTCCATATACCAGCTTGTAAAAATTAGTGTCAAAAAAAAGGGGCAAGAAAGACTGTGGCATGCCAAAACTGGTGGGAGGAGATGCAAAAAAAAAGAGTACTGTCAAACTCATCCAGAGAAAAATATGTGAGATGGATGAGTTGGCAATACTAACCATTTAAAGTGGAAGGGTACAAATCCCAAGAGGATGAGGTCTGCTACAGTAAAAATAGGCATAAAAGGGGGTGGTCCAAACAAGACAGCAGTAGACAGTTAGTACAGGACACAAAAGATGATCAAGATTAGAAAGATCATACAATGGTGAAATAGAGAGAGAAGGAAGAATACATCTGCTTATCCATTGAAGCAGTGTCTTTGGAAGAAAGGAATGGACTGGAAACAATGTCAACTGGTCTCTATGACAGAGAGAACAGAAGGTGTCTAAGGTATAAATGTCTGAATTATGAAGACCACAAGCATGGAGCAGGAGCAAATACATCTTGAGAGACAAATGATCCAAGGAACAGTAAGCCAACTGCTCAAAGGGGGATAAGTAAGAGTGCAAAGATCCCAGTAGGGAAGAGGGATTAGACAAGGGGAACATATTATTGCCTGGCAAAAGGTGGAGGATTGACGACAATGCTTTTATTTGTTTTGTTAACCCTTCCATTACGGGCTAGGTGGATTCCACCCAGCTCATAACTAGGAGAGTATCTATGAGAATAATTTTGTTATAATTTTTGAAAATGTTTGCAAATCTTTACAAAATTTTGCAAATTATTATTAAACATTACATGGATTTCATACACAAAATATCTGGTTTTCAAATCATGTTTTAAGATTTTTTTATTAAAGATTTGCTTGTGAATTTTTTGTTTCAGAATGTTGACTATTCAATGTACAAAGTAATTTTGATTTTAAGATTAAAATACTCTTCTTTATCTGAGATTTGTCAAGTTTCATTTGCATAATCTCTATATCCTTTTAGATAATCATCAAACGTTTTTTTTTTAAATAAAACTTTATAATTAATCTGTTATTTTGCCAATATTAACTCTATATGGTATATCCTGTTTCATATATTATCATGTTTAAATAGTAACCAATAAATGTGTAGTTTCCAGTAATATAAATATGGCTCCTTTTGGTTAGGCTAGCATTCTTGACTGTAACTTGAGAAACAAATTATTCACCAGCAAATTGCAAATTCAACTGGGTGTTTATGTAAAGATGTTCCTTTTCATGAGTTAAGATCAGTTGATCAGTGATAAATATAGTTCTTAGACTTTCACAAATTACATAAATAAACTTTTCCTGAATTGCCAATTCTTTAGTTTTGTATAATTTGTTTTTATTCTACCTCAATGTAAATGAGCAGAAAAATGGTAAAATACAGTAACATATTGGCTACCATACATTACATATGGATATATATATAACTAATATTTTCAAATAAATACTTAAAAGTCAGATATTTTTTTTAAACATAAGATAGTAAATAAAAATTAGTTGGAAAACAATGATCTCTACTACTTATGATGCTACGAAGTCCTTGTTTGCACTTGTAAGCAGAACTTGCTAAGCCTTGTCCAAATTCATATGTGGAGATGGAAAAATATAATTTTAGAACTTTAGACTTTTAGACTTTATATAAGCATTTTGGAATACAAAACAATTATAAATTACAATACCAATAACCCAAAAATTCACTGTAATTTATCAGGCTTCCTAACTAAATTATATTTGGGTCTAAAAAATATAATTTATATTCACAAAATAGCTTTGATAGTAATACTTCAAATTTTCCAATGATATAAGAGCATTTCTCTTGTAAGTAACTTAGAAAGACTAACAGGATTATGTAGAATAAATATATAGCTTTCGATTAATTATAAAGTTATTGGTATATAAAAATAGCCATAGGTAAATAAGTCTTCTCAAATGATGAAGTGGTGGGCGAAGCCAATATGGTGGGTTTACTAAATATCATGATATCTCAGCAAATAGAAAAGGTAGGAGGTTCTTATTTTATATTCTAGCTTGCCAATATCACACATTTGAGTTTCTAATTCATACGAAACTACAGACGTTGTATTGTAGGCATGTAATCTGACCAAACCCAGAAGGCCACATACCACCTGACACACAAAAATCGATATTCAGCCTTTTTCTTTAAATATTTAGTTTTAAATTAAGAAACTAACTAATGTATAACACTAAAATCTGAATTATAATCTTCAATTTGATACCAAACTTATTGACGTATGTTTATAAAATAACAGCTAAATAAAATTTTGAATGTAAATCTACAAACGTGATGACATTCCCTCTGACCCCCTATCCGTCTCAATAAGGTTAAGCACAAAGCTACATAATGGGCTATCTGTGCTGTGTCTACCATTAGTATTGAAACCAGTTTTTTTAGTGTTATAAACTTTCAGACTTACGGCTGTGCCATTTACTAAAAATAAAAACAATCAGAAAATTGAAATACGTAAAGGCTGCAGAAGCAACAAAATTTCAATATAAAACTGTTTATGTCTCTTGCACTGAAAATGGGATATTGAGTATTTTGAATATTGTCAAAAAACTACATATGGGTTATCTGCACTAGCAATACATAAGTGTGAGCTGAAAGACTAAAGGGAAGGCACTAATAAACTGTACTAGTTGACAACTCTTTGAGTTATGCTAATCAATGAGTGGAATGAGACTGAAACTCTTTTTAATGCACTCATAGCTTCAAAGTGCACAGCACTATTTTACAGCAACAGGATACGAGTCATGGATCCTCAGACTCACAGTGAGGCATGTTAATTTCTAGGTGACAAAAACAAGACAGGGCAACAAATCTCAAGTTAGATAGGTTTGAGTAAAACTAAACAAAGAAGTTTATTCTGCTAAGAAGCTGAAGAAAACCCCCAGGTGGACAAGAAACTGAGTGGGAGTCAAAATGGACTTGCATGATCAAGCAGAAAACATAAGGGCCCATAGCTAGACTAAAGAGAATTTCCTGGAATTGAAAGATATGACCTTCAAGGTTAAAACAGAGAAATGATGGGACGCGGGACAAACGTATATGCGAAGGACAACATTTGTTTAAACACAGCCTAGGAGACTGGGAGAGAAGGTCCAACATAAACTGAATAAGTTGTTCATCTAGAATCAAGGATCAATGAGAAAGTGATTCAGAGAAGGCAAGTTGATGATAAAATGCCAAACTTCTTACTTCATGTGGATAATAAGAAGATGAGAATAAAAGCCTAGAGTGCAGTGGGAGGCAGGTTTTATAGCTCCTGTCACCAACAAAGAGGTCATAAAGTCCTGAAGAAAAATATGCAAATGATTAGTGTGAAGAGGAAAGAGAAACAGCGAGAAAGAACATGCAGAATTCCAGGGTGATTAGAGAAGGAAGAATACAGATGCATAAAGTAGGAAAGGCAGACACTGGTGGAATCAGAGCATAGGATCAGTTCCAAAGAAGAGTTACTGCTGAAAGCTGCAACAGCTAGCTGTGTGAGAGAGGGTACAACAAACAGAAGCAAGAGAACATGGAACAGGAAAGGAGTAGCCCAATATGATTCCTGAGGATGAGTGTGGCAGACAGAGATACCTGTGAACCAGTGAGTTGGAAAAGCAAGGAAGCAATAAAATACTGCAGGTGAGCAGCCTAAGCCCAGGATTCCAAAAAGTCAGGAATATCCTGAAAGACCAAGTCTGTAAGCAAATGGGCAAGATAAAAGACTTGAATATAAGATGAAGGGATGTGGACACCTGACGATGGAGATCCCAAAAATAAAGAAACCAGGTCAAAATAAGAGACAGGAGAGAAAGAAATGAAAAATAAGAAGGCAATAAAAGAATAATGAGTGTCTCCACCAAAAACTATTGTGGTTGTTATGAAGAACCTCAGTGAAAAGGTGAAATGCAGAGAGTAAAGAAGTAGGGTAAAGACAGACAAAAACAAAGAGATAGTTGGAAAGAAAGACAAAGAAGATGAAAGAGGGGTACCCCCTAGCAGAGATAAAAGATACAAGAAACTGGAGATCAAGAAATATCGAAGGGCCAGGACCTGAGGTATAACAAATGAGCATGAAGACAAGTAAGACAAGAAAGATGAGGGACAGTGTGGAGTTGGGAGGTACACAAAGTAAAACAACCAGAGAGACAATATGATACACAAGTAGAACAGAATCTCACATATCTTATTCATGAGCTTGGCAAACAGAAAAAGAGGAAATACTTACTCCTCATCAGGGAGAGTAGAGCCAAAAATAAAGGACAGAGGTGGAAGAGCTGGCCAAAATCATCCAAAGGTAAGGCAGGTTCCACAGAAGGCAAAGAATGACTAAGGAACTGAAATGGAAAAGAAACAGGCAAAAGGGAACCAACCACCTGATGTATGAAAGTGGGAACATCATCAGTTAAGTTGCTGATACACAATGGCTCGTAACAATTAAGAAAAGTTGTGGAAATTAAGTTATCCACAATGTTGAAAGTACATCACCACAGAGTGAAATTCAAGACCTGTTACAAGCAGAGATGCACTCTACTAAGTGAGCTAAAAGGATAACAACTAAACATTAGGTCCATGAACAGATAAAGTGCCTCCAGTCATCATTGAGTCAGTTGGAGAAAACATCTAGCAAGGAGTGTCTGGGCCTTGGGACTCTCTTACACACACACACACACACATATATATATATATTACTTAGCATACATTGGGGAAAGTAGCCTAAAGTAGAAATGTGGTGGATAGAGAAAATGAAGTTGTAGGTGGTTGGAACAAAATTGCAACAATGACAAAAGCAATGTAGCACTAAAGAAAGAGAGAAAGACAACCAATTAAGGTAACTAGAAACTCAAAAAGCACAGGAAAATACATGCCTGAACACAGACAGTACCAAGGAGAAAATGGGCCTATGATCATGTGCATAGAAATCATGTTGCCCTCATACTGGTAGAGAACTACAGCATTATGATAATTATGTCATAAACTAGCACAATACACGTGTAGATATGGGAGTTTGTTCAAGGCTTATGGCATGTGTAGGAAATTCCATGGCAGTTGAGCATGAGATAATCACTCTTAGCAGTACACATAGGTAAGTAGCATTTCTGAAAAATAATGTACATTATTTCAATAAGTTTTATTTCTATACACAAAATTCACTTTTGCTCACTGGGATAAAAGCCACAATGAAATATTACTGACCTACACTTTTTATTGATTGATTTTTAATGATATTTTCATAAATCTTAAAAAAGCCAATATAAATTAAACCTTGTGGAAAGGTTAAAAAAACAAACTACAATTTATTTTTGGAACTAAATATTGGTCAGATTAAACTGGCATTTCTAGAGAACCCTAATTAACTTTGTAGAATGGACGGCAACTGCCTGTTGTAGAGACACTAGTATAGAGGACGATGTTTTGAAAGTCTTTCACCTTTCGTCATAAGGTCAGTGTGTGTAAGATGTTGTCAGTCTTTATAGTATTCTGGTGGATTGTGGAGTGTGTTATGATTGGTTGGTTTATACCTGTTCCTGATTGGAGGAGAAATTTCCTGTAGATTTAACCAATGGTAGCCACAGGTTACTCATCTCTAATTTAGAATCTCTATTTAGTGAGGGTTTAATTGTGTTAATGTAAAATGATTCTTTAATTCTTCTCCAATCAGGAACAGGGATATACCAACCAATCATAACACGCTCTCCACAATCCACCAGAATACTATAAAGACCAACATCTTACATACACTGACCTGAAGACGAAAGGTGGAAGACTTTCGAAACGTTGTTCTCTACACTTGTGTCTCTAGAAGAGGCAACTGCCATCCATTCTACAAAGTTTCACAAACAAGTAGTATAGATGAACATTTATAAAGAATACTAATAATTATCTAAATAATAAAGATAAATTAACATGTCTAAGTAGTGTTATTTTGTTTCATGAAGATCACAATAGAAACAACAAAAGTTAAACATGCAAAGAAACAAATCAAAACACTAAGCAGATTTAACATTAACCCAAATTGTGGATATAATAAAAAATTCAAGGCAACAGAAACATAAAAGGATGTTTATCTTTTTCACAGTAACCACACACAAAGTTTTTCATAGCCATTACCTCTTAATTTGAATAATGGTCACACATACATGCAGTGGACAACCATCATCTAGAAATCTGAATGATGATAACATACACATGAAGTGGTGCATAGCCACCACAACTAAACTTGAATGATGACAACACACACAATTTGAATGACAATAATATACACAATAGGTGATGAATAGCCATCTTTTCTCAACATGAAAGATGACAACATACACGTGAAGTGGTGCATACCCATTACCTCTCAGTTTGAATGATAACATACACATGAACTGATGAATAGCCATCATTTCTCAATTTCAACGACAACAATATATGCATGAAGTGGTGCACAACCTTCATTTTTCAACTTGACTGATAACATCTTACACCTGACATGGTGAATAGCCATCATCTCTGAACATGAATGATAATATACACATGAAATAGTGCACAGTCATCACCTCTCAACATGAACAATAACAACATACACATTTCTCAACTTCAAAGAAATTTAGTATGAAGAGATTTTTGCTGCTAAATTTTCATAATCTGTCTTGATATTCTGAAAAATGATAAAAGTCATTAATATAATTTTTTGTTTATTTCTATTATTTTTGTAGTATCGTGAACTCAGTTTGTTTTATTCTTCGACTTAGGTGAATATTGACCAAATCCTTATAAGAAAAGAATCCATAACACAATTTTATATTAATTTCTCTTGCCATAGTTATTTTAAATCTTGTAGTAAGAGTAATATTACACTGAAAAATATTCTTGACAACTTCCAAATTTAAAACCTTGTACTTACCAGTTTCCACATCAGCAATATCAATAAGTAAATCTTCAGAGGCAGATGCCAACATCTTACCATCATAGCTAAAACTAATTGTCCTTACTGGCCAATCCAATCTAGAATCATAATAAGTTAATTTGTAATCACAAAACAATAACCAGTATAATACATAAATTATGTATAATCATATTTAGACAAACACCTTGTCTAAACAGTTGTGCAACTTTAAATTTAAACTGCACTGTCAGTTTAAAGTATATCTAATAATTCACCATGTCTCGCATGCTTATAAAAATATGCTAAAACTTGTTTCCAATGTACATTCTAATGACCAGCATTTGCTGATTTTACCACTTTTGTTAAAGAGAATGCTAGTTAACTTAAGATCATCTTAAGAAGACCAAATATTTTAAAGATCTTTTTTGCATTTTGTCTGAAAAATCCATTTTATTGTTATATTATAGTGGATGTTTTGAACTTTCAGTCAAGTAAAATGCCTAAAATTTCAGAATATTAGGAATGCTGAATATGAGCTCAGTGTATGCATAATGTGACCTGGCTGTTCTATGGGAAACAGCTAATGGGCCCCTATTGTTTGTTGCTTTTGACTAGTCACATTACTGATATAAAGTATAGGCAATAAAACCATAAAAATAAATGAAAGTATTAGAAGTTAAAGCTGTTGAGTAATTTTGAAAAAAAATGGAATTATTCATTTTATTTTATATTCTTTAACTTTTCAATTATTTGTGCATTGATGACTTTGCTACAGCGAGTGTTAAGGTAGAGAAAATAAGAGACAATATAAGAAGCTTTACTGAAAAACATTTGATATTCAAGAGATTATGCAAATGAAATATGAAAGCTGTAAGATAAAAAGAAGTATTTTTATTTTTTGCATGAAAATCATCTTTTACACAGACTGATTCAGTAAAAGCTTCATAAATTCACAGATAAAGTTTCAGTAAAATATTTTATTAAAAAAATCTTATTTTTTGTGTATAATAGACTTTTGAGGTATAATAAAAGCTTGCCACATTTCTTGAAGATACACAAAGTCAATTCAGAATTATAGTTACCATTATTACATATAGCTTCACAGATACAGAGTTGGTCCAATGGACTAATGTCATGAAAAAAGGGGGTTGACACTCTTTTCTCACAAGGTCTTAAATATCTACCTTTAGTGATCATTGGTTTATGATGTACAGATAAAAATAAAAACATTATAAAAAAGAATGCTACTTTCTTCCTGTCTATATTAATCTTTAAACTTTCAACAGTGATTCACTACATGAGCTTCACTTAGTTTCTTTCCTCATTTTGATAATGGTATTAGAGATGTTCTACAATAATGGCATCCAATCCTTTTGGTCTGAAGTAACTTTACACTGACCTTCATTCATCCAAGTACCTCACATCTGTGATAGACCTAACAATGATACTATCAATAGCACTGTCATACATCTGTTTAGTTGTACTCTAGTTTCTGTTTTTATTGTAAATCAATCCATCACTAATTTTAAGTTTCACAGAATAAACATCAGGGTCATAATGTTATGAAGTAAATGCAAGTAAGGGAAAAACAAGCATCTCAAACCTTGGCTGACAAATGAACTAATCACAGACTTTATCAATACAGAATTTTATTTTATAGCTTTATCTTGCACTGTTATTAGTGGAAGGTTCCGTAACCTTTCTAGGACCTTCACTTACATCTGGAGGTTCATATATCGATGTCCTAGAATTACTGATTGGTATATAAATTAATGAATATTGTTCTTTTTGCTCTCAAATCACCTTGAGAGTATAAGTGTATGAGGTTGAAATTAGGATAAACATTGATAAACTATAGTCGGACAGCGGAAAATATAAATATTTGGCTTAAAAAACATAAAACCAAACTTGCCAAATGGATCTGTCAGGGCGAGCAAAAGTTAGGTGATAAAAAGAATGTTTTTTTTACAAGCTTTTTATCACATGAATTTTGGTTGTAGAGTAGAACAGAGCCAAATATCAATAAATAGCAAAAAACAACAATTGTAAAATCACATCGGGTTGAAGTGTGCATGTCACAACCTCTTAAGGAGTTACATTCAAAATTTAATTAAACTACTTTACTATCAAGCATATATGAATAAACTTGGCATCAAAATGTAGTTAATAAATCAAATTTTGATATTATTTAAGTTTTAAGTTCTTAATAGTATAAAGAAATATATTTAAAAATCCTAAATCTCCTCTAGTACTGTGACATTTTCTCTCTAGGTCTTCTGTCTTCCTCAATTTATTTACTACCCCCTCAAAGAAGCATGTAATTTAGCATAAATTACTTATTACAATATAGACATTATTCAGGCAAAGCATAATATTTATAGCCTTCAATCTTATTTGTTTACAAAGCCATAATTTAGAAAATCAGACCCCTTTTCCATGCCCACCTGTCACATTTTCTCATTCAGAAATTGCCAAGAGTTCCCTCCGACATTTTATACAATATTACTTATAACCAATGGAAAGCCAAAGTTTTAATCCATCAAACTATTTTCTGTACAGAGAACTTCCACTTCAAACTTTATTCCCTAGGAAACACATTACCAAGCTTAGCTGAATTTTAACGGCTCTTATAGCATAGTTAGAAAGCAAAAAAAATTATGATAGTTAGTGAACATTGTCTGCTTTTTTCATGTTATTATTCTGTGTTTCTAGGTGCAGTACTTAATTAAATAAACATTTAGTGTGGTAATACCATTAGTATAAAAAAAGTAGGCTTAAGCTTTATCTACAGTTGACAGCAAAGAAAAATGATGACCCAGATAAGTATTAATTTTTTGTTTTTCGTGTGTATTCTTTATTTATTATTTGCAAAGTAACTAAGATGTAAAAATTGGATGCTTGTTAGGTTAGGTAAGGTTAGATTAGGTAATATTTTGAGTGCAAGCGCTTAAGGAAAGTTACTGCATGTGGAGGTGCACAAGGGATACAGCTATTCAGTGCACAAAGGTAAGGTATCATCTTGGAAGTTCTGCCATAGACAATATTTTTCCATACTTTTTTTCAGTTTTTAAATATATTTAACTAATAAAGAAGCAAACTATAAAGCAGTATTGCTTAACATAAAACCATTAAAGTGGGCTGGCTATAGACCTCACCAAGAAATAGGCTTAAGTTCAACTTTTTGAATCTGCCAAATGAAAATTAAGTAATATTTCTTACTAAAAACAACAAAAACAAATAAAAATGAAACAAGGAAACATCTCTACATGAACTAACCTAGAGAAAGTGCGTACACAAACAAGCTCTTGTGCATCCCACAAGCTAACCAAGGCATCAACACTTCCTATGGCAAAGTACTTCCCCCTGGGATCGAATTCTATGCAGATACAGTTGGCAGGATGAGCAGTCAGAACACATTGCTGTTCAAGTTGAGGGTAGCTAGGGTAAAAAACAGTTGAAGCAAAGAATGAATAATAAAACAATTACAAATTCTGAAGTATACCTAGAAATCTTACTCCTTGTCAGAATTTAAAAAAATAAATATATATATATATATATGTATATATATAAATTCTTTTTGCCAATTGTCAAAATAAATGGCTTTTACTTATATTTCTCAATAGTATAAATACATACTATGTTGTTGTTGGGCTTAGGATTCTTCTACAGTAGGTGTCTGTGACTTGTTAGCGATAAATTCAATGATGAATAAACAACACACACTTTACTTGTTTTCAAGTAATATATATATATATATTTGGAACAAGTTAAACGTATGTACAACAAAGTCTTCACACTATAGAGGTTACAAGCATATCATAAACACTATTTATAGTTCTCTTCTTCTTGTCAGAAGTCCACTTAAGCCTATTCAATTACTTCAGAATTTCAGTTGACAAGTCGAACTATGTTCTATATATTACTATCTTACTAGTATTCTGTGTGTGATTCACTTACAGTTGTGGCACAAGTTACTGTAATTTGTTTGGTTTTCTTCCTTCTGAAGATCCTCTGTTACTTTTGTCAAAGTGCATTTAGGATGATTCAATTACTTTAGAACCATGCTTTGATGGAATAAAATTATCCTTCTTATCTTGTTTTATACTGTTAGTTTCACTCTAACATATTAAACGTTAAGCCTATCACTTTTACATTACTTCACTTCACACCAACTATATTCCCTTTGCTTTTATCTGTCTAATACTGTTTGTCTGCTGCTTTCCACTCATCTCACACTATTTATATCTTTATTACATAGTCGTCTGGCCACTTTCTATATTCTCGACACTAATTAGTTGTTAACAAAATCTTCTACAATCGTATGCTTTTAATTCTTATTATAACAAAACTTAAAAATAATAAAGTATTCACTCACAAATATAAATTAATCAATAATATTTAAACCAAACAGTCTTTTATATCATGACACTCCTATTCAAATGAAAGAGGTTTGTATAATACCACATTATTCTATAAGTATGTAAAATAAATTAGTAAATGGAGAAACTTTAATAGGAATTATTACAATTATGTTTAAGCATTATCAGCTTCATAAGCATACAAATCTTACATGTAAAATAGAGCAAAAAGCAGTTCAGTGGATAGCTTATTTAAAATTTTTAAACCAAACAATATCAAGCTTATCTAAATTAAGCTTTTCAAGCTAGGTATAGCTGGTGGATAAATTCAGATTTGTTTAATAATAATATCAAAAATGTATTTTTCTTATAGTGATGGTATTCACATGGTGAAGGTCAGTTACTTTTAGAACATCTTTTCCCAATTTGTTTTTTATACAATAATAAAATTTTGCATGTTGACATGCAACAAAGCATATTCCATATTTGAGAAAGTGAAATACACACTTAAGTACTTCCAGTAAGGTTCATCTTTCTTCTTGCTTCAGTTGAAATAACTCTACAACTAATTAATCACTAATGTCAGTTTAAACCTAAATCCACTCTGTGTGTTTCTGGGCAGTGTACAATGTCATCTCTTATTCATAATAACCAGTAGTAATTTAAAAAAACCAAAAAAAAAAACCTTAATTCTAACATAAATGATGTTATCATTACCTCTTGAAGTTAGCTTTTTTTAATAAACTCTTATATTCCTTTAAAAAGCTTAAGTACAGGGTGAAACAGGAATTACCAGCCAATAATACATGAATGTTGGATGACCTTAACATGACTATTTACAGCCAGGATACAGGACAGATAGATTATTCGGCATCTGTATAGTGAAAGTGGGTTTTCTCTGGGTACTTCGACTTCTCCCACACAACAAAATTCATTCACTATGGCATTGGACTCTTTGGTCCCAGCCCCCCTGTAAAGGGCCTCCTACCTCGCTGGTTTTCTTTCTTTGGAAAATAATTATATTTGGTATTGAAATAATTATAATACCGATTGGCATCAACCATGAAACACAATTAACATAAATTAAAAAATTAAGCAGACTATGTTGGAAGAAGATGCCAAAGTCGCTTGCTTTGGTCTCTTCACATCATCATCAACATGAAGATGATGAAAACCTTTCAATGCTAAGATTCTTATGCTTTCTCTGATCCCCTTCATGGCTTTCTGATAAGATAACTGTCTTAGCTATAATCCTGGAAGTCAAAATCTAACAATCCCTCAAAGTTAAGCAAATTCACCAGCCAATAATACATGAACATTAGATGGCTGTAACATGTAGAATATTCAATACTTTGTACACTATACAATCAGTGTCTTTATTATGTATGAAATGCAAGAGTAAAACAAAATCAATACACATAATATTAAATTTTATTACACACATTCAAAGAATATACTAACTTGCAGTTAAAGGGAAAACATCACAAAAGAAGTAATGAAAAGCAATTTGTAAATGTAAAATGATGTAGGGATGGGAGTGCCAAAACAAATGCAAACAGCTATATATAGATCATCCATATACGACTTTCTATATTATAATATTAACATTAAATTTTAATGTTGAAAATCATGTAGATTTGAAGTATGAAATAAATGTGACTAGAACAAGGGTAATTGAAATTGAATACTTAAAAACAACAACCGAGTATGTAAAATTAAACCACTTCAAGAACTAATTCAATCTCAAACACTAAGCAAAACGAAAAAAAGAAAGACACCCGAATGCAAGTTTGGTAGAGGAGTATCGAGGGAATCACATGGAACACGCAACACGTGTGTGTACTATTCTCCTATTTGTGGAGAAGTGGCGCACGATGGTTTGCATGAGAAACACGTAGGAATCATTTCATTCCAATGGGGGGGGGGGAGCAGAAGGTTTGTGGCATGCATAATAAAAATGTTTGCATATAGTAGGCAGCAATGAAAGAGAATAGGTAATCTTATAGTTGATACATATACATGTATATGGTAATTAGAAAGAACTCATTTTACAATATAAGCCAACAACGGATATTTTGAAATTGGCAAGCAGTTGTCATTAGCTGGTACATGTAACTGCCTGTGAAGCAATTGGGTTATTTTTGAGGGAATTTACAATTGCTTCAACGTTTTTAGGGAGTTTTTATTAACTTAGAAAGTTTAAGAATAAAGTTAGACTAGTAGTTGTATTTTTTGTAAGCCACTAAGACATGTGGATGAACTAGAAAAACAAGGTTAAGCAACGTAAGAACCATCGACTAGAAACACGCTGAATGTACTAGAATTTATGACAGGTTGACGAATGGTTGACTTCAACCCTGTAGAACTAGGAAAGCTACAGAAAAGTTTGGTTTAGCAAGCGATATCGGTGCTTTGAGGTGATATCATTTATAGCACATGGGTGTAGCAGTACAAGTAAATAGGTGACTGGCTAACACAACCGGGCTGTAACCAATTACTTGAGAGTTTTGATTCAGCCCGGGGATTCCCCTGAAGCGTCCAATAGGAGCACAGGACTACTTGTGGGTGATGCTGTGTTCTATTTAGATGCTCGAAATAATACAGAGAAATTTGCTTTATAAACCCATGTCAGAGACTGAAAAGTCAGTTCTCTCCAGCTCTCAAAGTTCTCCGATCTCTCCAGAAAAACCCTCTGAAGTGCTGCATGTTGACTTGGCAACATGAAGGTGTCCAATGTTATTCGATTTTCAACACCATTGTAAGTATACTTCACTATTCTCTCTCAGTCAGTTAATACTAGTGTTTTGTGAAATGTTATGTTAAAGGATATGTTGAAATATATCTAAGTGCTTTAATGGAAGTGTATACTGAAATATTATGCTGAAGTATATCTAAGTGTTTTTAATGAAAGTGTATGCTGAAGATACTACAGTATTTAGTTGAGTTAAAAGCTATTTTATGTTGTTTGTTACAAATGAGGTTTTGTCTGTTATTAATAGTTAGTTAAATGAATTAATGTTTAATAAAAATTATTGTAAGTGTTCACCATTGGGCTGAGACTCGTTCTTTAGTCTAACTGTAAACTTCCTCTAGTTAGTGACTTGTGGCTCCACTTGTCACGACAAATCCTCCAATAAATAAATTTGGTGTAACGAGTAGTTTTAATGGAAACTCCAACAATTAAGCCCACCAGGGCGCTACTCATTACACCTGTAATATTGTTGGCTACTTAAACTTTGATAATACTTACAGTGTTTTCTTAGTTAAAGATGTTATAGTTAGAGAGACAGTTTTTTATACCATACATTATACTTTGCATCAGTTATCAAGGCTTAAGATCTTGCACTAGGGGATGACAATTTTGCCTAAGGCTTGTGCATCTATTCTGAAGACACTGGGCACTGTTGACTTGTGAAAAGATGAGTAACAGAAGGTAAAATACACGAAAGGAAAATAAAACATTAAAAATTAACTATATGTGAAAAGGAAAATACCTGAAATTAGGCATATAAACAAAACATCTTTTAAAATATTCTATGACAAATTAAAAGGTCTGTACACTTTTTCTACTTCTTAGTTTTAAACGTTTCATTGCACTGTATGTTGATGATATCTATAGTTAGTGATATGGTAGAGAAATTGAAAAATAAAATATGAGCATTTACCTTACAAAAACTTTTGATATTAATTTAAAATATTCTAGAGGTTATACAAATGAAATGCGAAAACCATAAAATGAAGAACAGTAATTTTATACTTAAAATGAAAATCACCTTGCACTCAAACTATTAATAGTTTGAGTGCAAATAACAACAACAGTTAAATAACATATTTGTAGCAGAAACACTTAACTAAAATAATGTCATTCTTTGTGTACAAGATACTTATAATCAAATTATACCAGTTTTTGTGAGGATATGTTAAGAAATCTCACTGTTACAGTGAAATTCATACCCCCCCCCCCTAAGTTTTGTTTCAAGAATAAGTCTGCTTTTTAAGGTGGTTTTTGCTTGGATGTTGTTCTATTAGTCTTGAGCAAATTCCTGTGCAAACACTTTTATGAGCCACTATCACTCTTCACAATAAACAAGGAAAATTAATTTAAA